TTTTCCTTCCCCTCCCCCATGGGTTCCTGTTAAGTTTCTCAGGATCCACATAAGAGTGAAACCATATAGTGAAACCATATGGTATCTGTCTTTCTCTATATGGCTTATTTCACTTAGCATCACACTCTCCAGTTCCATCCACGTTGCTACAAAAGGCCATATTTCATTTTTTCTCATTGCCACGTAGTATTCCAGTGTATATAAACCACAATTTCTTTATCCATTCATCAGTTGATGGACATTTAGGCTCTTTCCATAATTTGGCTATTGTTGAGAGTGCTGCTATGAACATTGGGGTACAAGTGCCCCTATTACAACGCATCTTTTAAAATCTGCATTAAAAGGTTTTATCTATTTTTTTTAAAACAATCTACAAACTAATTTATGCTGATCCCATTTAGTATAAACCATCAACTATAGTAGACACAGAAATAAGTGATCACAGGGGCGCCTAGGTGGCTCACTCGGTTGAGCATCTGATTCTTGGTTTCTGCTCAGGGCATACTCTTGCGGTTTGTGAGACTGAGCCCCACATTAAGCTCCATGCTGACAGCGTGGAGTCTGCTTGGGATTCTCTCTTTCTGCCCCTCCCCTGCGCTCTCACTCTCTCTGAAAATAAAGAAAGTTAAAGGGCGCCTGGGTGGCTCAGCCAGTTAAGCGTCCGACTTCAGCTCAGGTCATGATCTTAGGGGTTGAGTTTGAGCCACACATCGGGCTCTGTGCTGAGAGCTCAGAGCCTGGAGACTGCTTTGGATTCTGTGTCTTATTCTCTCTCTGCCCCTTCCCCACTTGTGCTCTGTCTCTGTCTCTCAAAAATAAATAAATGTAAAAATAAAATTTTTTTTAAATGTATAAAGAAAGTTTAAGGAAAAAAAAGAAACTGAGTGACTCACCAATTGTATAAATAACTTCAACATCATCCATTTGGGAATCAGTAATACTATTCTTGGCTTCACCTTTCACTTCCCCAAGAAGAAAACCTTCCTATAAAGGTAAAAAGCAATCTATGGAATACCATGATAGAATTACTACTCAATCACTTAACCAATATATCCCAAGATCAGGCGAGGGTCCCTGGTGAGGGACCAGGTACACTTTCAGTTTAGTTGGGAAATATGAACAGTTCAATAAAAATGAATAGAAGAGACTGTAAATACTGCTGTGATTTTAGCACACCTAGAACATAAAAGGCTTAAAGCCAGAAATGAGTACATAATGTCTGAAGAAGGAAGAGCAGGGTAGTTTGTCTTGGAACAGAAGGCTCCCCTTTCTGAGTAATGAAATTATGGATAGATGGGAATAGTGCCAATAATGAAACATCCCAAATAACTAGCCAAGGACTCTGGATTAATGGCACATGCTTCTGGGAGCCAGTGGGTGCTTCTGAGCTATGAAATGACACAATGATCAGTGGTTTTAGACTAAAAGTTATACAAAAATATTAAAGATTTGGAATTCAGTATCAAAGTCTAATTTCTAAAAGGGGAACTAGGAGCCCTAATTGTTTTTAAAATGCAGGCATTTTGCCACAACAGCAGTGATGTCTTTGAATTTCAGAGAATTCAATATTTTCATTTGGCACATTTAAAGACCCAATATGCTTGATGGACAAAGATTTTACCTTCTTTATAATTAGGTAAGAATGCCCCCTCCCA